ACATACACACGTACACATACACACATACACATACACACGTACATACACATACACGTATACACATAACGTATACACACATACACAATTCATCTCTGTTCAGCACACATAAATCGACAGAGGAGTGAAAGGGCCTTCTTCCATTGCTTCTCTTCTTCTATTACTTCATAATGGACTTTTTGTCTGTGAGAAATTTTATGGAAGGAATTCATTGAGATGAAATACCTCAACTTCCCACACATCGCCAACAGCGTGCTATTTTTACACACAATTATTCATACCATTCGTCTTCCTATCTCCAATTTACTCCCATTTATTTCGCCCGTTGACCCATTAGCTTAACGAAATGTTGTCGTTGTTGTTTAAATTGTATTGCCAGCTAACTCTCTTAATTTTCTAATCTTAATAACTAATAACATCCGTAGCGTATAGCATTGTGTTCCTTCGCTTCCATTTACTCTTTCGGCTTCCTGTTTTAAGTCCATATACTTCCATAACTTAAGAAATGTTAACTTAACACTCCCCACTTCACTTCTCATTGTACCTCTTCAACAATCAGCAAAAGTAATCAGTAAATCCTACTACTACTACTACTACTACGCTTTATTGACAGTCACTTTTTAATAATACTTTGTCTTCTGTCTCTTTCTCTCTCTCTCTCTCTCTCATCTGCAAGGCTTTTTATACATCATGCATTGACATTTTTCCTCATTCTTGTTCCTTATGCACTGCAACATTCATATCACATCTCTTGGCAGTTGTTAGTTGGAGTGCCTTAATAGGTTTCACTGTTACGTATCCTTTCATCCGTTTATTATTTCATCGCGATGAAATATGACTGATTTCATTATGCCTCAAATTAGATTTTATATATTTCGAGAAATGGACAAATTTTTAAGAAATCATAGCAGTGCAAAATGGAAAAGATAACTTTAATGACTGAGGAGGACTTTGGAACTTCAAAAACAAAACCTCTATTTTGAATTTGATGAAATTTTTTAATCAGATCATCTTGATATTATGTTTACATTTTGCTTAATTGGTACTTTCAATTCAATTCTTGGAGTCAAATAATCAAATCAGATTAGAAAATTTTTATATAATATTTTACCCTGCTAAATGGTTAAAGTTTTTGAATTTTAATTTCAGAAATTTTTATACTCAATCTTTATACTTATTAAATAAAGAAAGCATATTCTTATAAGCATTATCTCAAAGAGAAATACGTGAAAATCTCAAATGAGGAGTAGGATTTCATCACTACAGTTGCTGAAAAAGAAGTCTCCAAATCAGACCAGTATTAGGAATCCCTTTTTATTTACTGAAATGCAAACACTAGATAGTTATATTAGCAAGTTATTCTATATTATACAAATTTAAATGAAAGCGAAATTGAAGCCATAAAAACAGGTATCTGAAATTTTGGGGAGAAGGAGGAGAGTGACATCTGAGAATTGATAATAATTTCTCTTCACTCCTGAAAAAAAAACACTTATATCTGCGTAGGAAAATGAGAATGACAGAAATAGAAATTACTATAGCTATTTTAAATCAATAAATGACTATGAATAATAAAAGTAAATCCAACTTTTTTTAACTCTGAAATAACAATGAGAATTTCAGAAGATTGTTCTCCAAATTCATTATTGGATGTTATTTTTTAAAAGAAAAATCTTGGAAAGCGTATTAAAATGAGTCGTAAATTTGCCATTTATACAGTTAAAATTAAGCAAAATCTGTAAAAAGTACGAAAATGATGAGCTTTGGTGGTGAATTAGCTAAGAAAAAGTGAAATACAGGGAAAAAAATCAGTTATTAAATGCCAGAATGGTTGGTAATACATTATGCTACTATCCAAGAATATACCATTCCTAGACTTTGCATACTTTACATAAAGTAGTAGGCAGTGCATAAATTGTAAAGCAGTTCAATCAGACAAACTATAATTTCATCGTTAGTTTCATTGCTTTAGACATTTCACCATCTGCTCCCAAAGTATCGTAATGTAGATAATTTATTTTATTCTCAAAAGAGCATACTGCATAACTTTCTCGAATTCTCTAGTTTCAGTTTTTTTTTTAAAAAAAAAAATATAATTTTAAAACTTTTGCAACGCCTCCCTATATTCTGCATCCTTCTTGTTCCATTAAAATGATTCGTTTTTCAATCTCATTCGTATCGTTCATTCACATCAATTAATTCTTGCTTGCAAAAATTCTCTTGGCATTATTTTTAAGTTTGCTTATAAAATGTTTTTTTATTGCTCAATAGATTGACTTATAATAATCTGTTACCAATTATTCTGGCATTTTATATTCCTAATTCTTCAATATAATCAACTACGAAATTTCTCTGAAACATAAAAATTCTTTCTAAATACTTTTGTTCATTATGAAATATATTCCTAATTTTTGTAGGATAACATGCAAACATGCAAACTTGACGGTATCATATAAGTGATATCTTATTCTTATGATACTAGCGGTATTTGCTCATTAATAGCATGCATTTTTTACTTATGAAAATAGATTATAAATACAGTTGAAATTAATTGTCGTTAACACCAAATAATTTTGTTGATCTAAAAAGCTGAAATGGAAATTTGATATTTTATAATCAAAATTTAAACATATGCTTTATCTAAGATACCATAGTATATTTGATAACAGTGAAATAATATTTCTAACGATAATAATAGGAATAATAACATAAACATTTGCGTAAATTATGGACATCACAATGAAGTGGAAAATGTGCAGAATTATTTAACTCGTTTTACTTCTACTTTCATAATTTTTACTTCCATAACTACTTTCATAATTTCCTTTTTCAACTTCTTTAAATGAATTTTTTTATCGTAATGGATGATCATTTCATATTTACGCCGAGAACTTTTTCATTTTTTACATTATAACAGTCAACTTTGAACTTTTTTCTCCTTCTTACAATGTTTTGAGTTAAAAATTTCAAATTAGCGGATCTTAACAAAGCAATTGCATAAAAACTTTTTATATCACTGTGGAAATGACAGATTAGTCTGATCGGTGGATACGGTAGACGAGAGAAGGAAGAGACAGTGATTCTGTAGAAAGTCTCAACTTTGTTTTTAAACATGTATGTTGAATAAATAAAAATAAAAAGAGTAGTTAAGTGAGTATTACTTAGTGAAAAAGTAGCGTAAAACAGTGAAGAAATAGACCTTCTTCAATCCATTTCTTGATGAGAACTAGATGTTGTATTAAATATGCATTTCTACTTTATCGCATTATAAAGAAAGATTTCGAAGACTTCTGTAAAAATAAAACAATATTGAAAATGAATAAAAAAGTATCACATAAATTTTCACTATCCAGGGATAATACATGCTAATCATGACAAGTATTTATTTAAATCTCAACATTTCCTCCTTAATTTTTACTGACCAAATTCATTTACTCAATTAGCAATGCATTGATTCCCATTCCTCAGGAAATCTGATAAAGTGAAAAATAGAACCGATTGAAAACAAAATACATATTCATGTCACACATAAATATCAATTTTCACTTTCTCATAAACAGTTGCCAGTTGTTGTCGGGAGTGAGAAGCGATAAAAGTAAAAACAGTTTGATGGAAACATATAAGTTTATTTCTATTTTATTTCCACATTTTTTCCGCATTTTTTTTGTTCTTGCTTTCTTTTCAAATCATAAAGTGAGCATTATTCAGCCTTATAAATCTTAGTAAAAATAATTGTAATGGATAACATATCGTAGCATATTACCAAACATTTTTTCCAAGGTAGTTCATTTTATCGCTCATCACTACTTGTCTTTCTTTTTACAAAGTTATTTGCATCTCTTATAGCTTATATTAACTGTTCTCGATAAGTTTTATTTCATTTTACTTTTACCGACTCAGTTTTAGAACTTTTACTTCTTTCTTTTCCACTTTTTTGTCCAACGCATAACTTAATATTTCGTTTTATCAAACATTTCGAAATCACTATCGAATTCTGATTATTATGATTATGATTAAGAGCTGCAATAAAGTAATAAAGTAATTAAGAGCAGTAGTAAAGTTAAAATTAATGAATGAACTATTTTTGAAATGTATTCTGTGCTTTAACGTATAATTTGGTATGTTTCTAGTACATGTTGCTTTCCTAACGGTTTCTTTCAATGCGCACATTTTTTCTATCTATTTCATTAAGTGCCACGTTAGTGGTCTTATTTCTTTCATATTATTGTTATTACTATTGCTATTATTATTTTATCATTATCATTATTATTACTAGTCCGTATCGCCTAAAGTACTCAATAAGAACTCCAATTGCATTCGTTTGATCGTTTTGTAGGTTTTTTTTTTTCATAAAATATAACCTTTGTGAAATGGATTTGCTTGTCTATTTCTTTTGGCATTATCGATATTTGATATTTACTAACAGGATTTCTGCGATCGGCAAGTAATAAAGCTATAAGAAAGATGCCGGAGGGTAAGGCACCTCATTTCCCGCAACAGCCGGTAGCTCGACAAAACGATGATGGATCATTGGAACTGGAATGTTTTTTAGAAGCTCAACCAGTCCCGGATATTAAATGGTTTTACGATACAGTAAGCATTTCCTATGAAATATAATATCAATAAATGTTTTTGGATTTGATTGGAAGAAGCTTAAGTATTAATCGTTCATAAACAAAATTGAATAGTAGATTTAGATATCGTATTGTTTTGCACCAAATTTTTATTCCTTCCGTAACATTTGTGGAACTTTGAGTAGTTCAGCATTTTCTAGACTGAACTAAAACAAGACCAGCGGTTCAGTTTTCGACTGGATAATAAAGGAAATGATGCTTACTCAGCCATCCTACAAATCAAGGTGACATTTCAAACAATATATTTAAACATAAATATTAGAAGTAACTTCACTTTATAGGGTTCTTTGGTTTGTGAGACAGTATTTTTTATTGTGAATATAATTATTATAATTAGTTTAAGATGATTACATACAGTGGTTGTTTTTTCAGGATCTTGCTGATAGTGATGCTGGAGCTTATCGATGTGCTATTGTAAATCCACATGGAAAAGGGAACGCCAATTTTAATCTCAAACTTACAGGTTTTTTTTTTATTATATATTTATCACATTTTACTTTACTTGTGTTTTGTGTTAAGACTTTTGGGAAGAGAAAGTGAGTAAGAAACATTCTGTTAGGATTACGAAATCTTTAACAACAACTTAAGTATTTTTTAGGCAGAAACATCTCTATCATCTTCGTTGATTGCGTCTTATATTTAAAATTTCTTTTGTTTCACAGAAGTTACGAATTTAATAGGATTTGGTACGATGAATAAAGATGGAAAATAATTAATATGTTATTTTTCCTTAGTGAATGAAATTTTACCTCGCGTGGTTCCAAATTACAGGATTCAGCGCCCCAACATTTGTCGAAAAACCACAAATATCGTCTCGTGATGATGGCCAAGTAATGGTTATGGAATTCAGAGCGAAATCAATTCTTAAACCTACTTTCGTCTGGCAAAAGGTTTCTTTATCAGTTCGCATTGTTGCGGAAGGAAAATAACACATTTTGCATGACTCCATAAATTAATTTTGCTTACCCTTAAGCCTTGATTTCGAATTCCAGTTTGATATTTAAACTGAATTTACAACTGTTTTCATTTTAGGGTGAAGAAATCGTGGCTGAGTCTGATCGTGTGAAAATTGTTCTGAGAGAAGAAGCAAATCAGATATATTATGCTGCTCTGGAAATCAAAGTATCGATTTAGTTTTCGTTAAATTTAGGACAGTTTTTTCTTTTCAGGATTCACGCAGGTCATTTGATAAATTTGAAGAGCAAGAAAATGAAGGAATCGAATCTTATAAAGTTTGGATTAATACGTGGTGGTGGGACGAATACATTCACTGTTCAGTTTTCTTTTTTTCTAAATGTTACATTAACTAAACCAATTCTACTAGAAACTAGAGCGTTTTAGGAGCCAACAAAAGAAAAAGATGCGGGCCAATTTGTTTGCACAGCAAAGAATGAATCTGGAAAATTAACAGCCACTTTCACTGTTAAATTTGAAGGTCTATTTTTGGATTTTAAGTATTTCTCTTCAACATTAATTTTGAAATTGATATGCAAATCAGATATTTTAATTTTTACATCTGTTCTTTATTGTCCAAAAACAATTTCAGTGCCACAAGGAGCTCCGACCTTTACCCGTAAACCACAGATTTTGCAAAAAACATCAGACTCTGGCGATCCAGCCATTGTTTTTGATATTGGATTCCAAGCTGATCAAAATCCTGAGGTAAAACAGCTTTATAATGTCGTATTTAGCATTATATGTTGGGAAAATTAAAGAAAAACTTTTATTATATATGTTCTGAAATAAAATTTCTTAATGTAGGTCATTTGGTTAAATCCGAAAGGTAAGAAAATGAAGGAATCAAGTCGTATAAAATTTGGATTAACACCTGATGGTGGTGCGAACACGTTCACTGCTCAGTTAGAACTGAAAGTATGATCATTATTTATTCATATATTATCAAGTGGTAATGACCATTTTGAAACCCCAAAATTAATTTGATCAAAATTTCTTTCTAAATTAAGAAAGTATATTAGATAAAGGTTCTATTAATGTTCGAAATTCAAGTTTTAGAATAATATTTTTAGAATTATAAAGCGAAGGACAGCGGTACATATACCTGCAATATTAAAAATGAAGCTGGTGAAGCAAATGTTGAATTAACATTGAACATCGAAGGTTTGTTTTTTACATGAAATTTCTGACACTATTTAACCTGTGTTGCATGTTTTTTAATTTGTAGAGACGAAGTTTAAGTCTGCATTAAATTTAGCTTGAGCAACACACTTATTTCTTTGTATACTGTTGATATCCTAACAAAATTTTTGGAATTAGTGGCTGGACAATTATTACAATTTCTGATTCTCTTCTGGACTCCGTGTTTTTAACGTTTTGTTTAAAAGTTCTCTGACATTGTTTTGAATCTATATGGATTCGTTGCATCATTATAAGCAAGAGACATTCCTGCTGTCTTTGCGGAATATTAAACTATTCAAAGCATGGACTAGTAAAGAATGATAATAAGATCATTATTGTCTTTGTAATGAGATGGATCACAGAACGGCGCAGAAACTTTACAATTTTTCGAACAAAATTTTCAATTCAGTTAATACAGATAACATAGCATGGATTAATTCAAATCAAAGTTTTAAATTAATTTGAATCTCAAATCTTTATACGCAGCTTGTTTGTTAAATTCTAGATAAAAACTTCGCATTAACCATTGGTATAGTTCATTTAGGTGACGACGGTGATGACAGCATGACAGATTGATGTGCATTGAATTCTAATATGTAACCGTATGTTGTATCATACCTCAAGTGCAATATATCGTATCAAATCCTGTTTGCCTGCTAACTTGTTTACGCATTATAACAGTCAACAAGTTTGCCTTGTGTGTTTTTACCATTTAAGTTTAACAATTTGAAAATTATAAAGCTGATCGTAGGAATCGTTCTTTACCTAAGACTGGATTGATTTCTGACACATTAAATTGTAAAAATTTAAATAGATATTGAAATTCAGTGCCGTAGATAGTTTCTAAAAATCGATCCAGCTGATTGCTCATTATGACACTTTATTTTCAGTTTTTTAAGATCATAAAAGACTAAGAGAATTCATCTTTTAATTTGTTTCAGTTTCATAATCTCAGTCTTTCAAATTTGTAAGAAACAATATTAAAAAGCGAAAAGAATTTCTTTTCTTTTTTTCCTGCTGTTAACTGAATTCAGTAAAATGTAACTGTCCTTTTAGTATAAGCTTCTATTTTCAGGACCTTTAGACGAAGGGGCAGATGATGCTAGCGAAGCGTGAAATGGGCAAGTTCTGGATGGTCCATAACATACTGGATCCTATGAGTAGCAAAAAATCTGCCAAAATGTCAGAAGTTTTTTGATATCACTGGATTTTTCTCAATTAAATTTGCGCTTTTTAGTAAAGAGGTGTTTTTGTTCATAAAATAGAGGTAATGTAATGGTGCCAGTATTTGTTGCTAACTTCGTTTTTCCATGCTCGATGGATATTCCATTTGTTTGGATATCGAGCAACCAATTCTCACCCAAATGCATTGTCATTTTTTATTAATGCTATTATTATTTTTGTTATGTTAGCTTTCATATACTCAAATGTAATACCGTGTTCTGTCAAACATTTTTTGTAATAAGAATGTTTCGATTTAGCCAAGTCTATTTCGAAATCATTCTTAGCATTCGCAATCTTCAGAATGCTGAATGCAAAGGATGTTTGAACAGTTACGGTGTCTCGCCGGTTTTCAATTCTGAATTATGCCATTTCATTTTCTAATTATTTATTTTTCTAATCTATAAAAATTAAGCTGCCAAAAGAATTTAATATTGTTAAATAAAGTGCCTTTTCCGGACATGTTCAAAATACGTTTCCTCTGCTTCCAAAATCCTATTATTCAATTAATTTATTTTCTCAGAGCGCTCTGGTTTCCGATAAAACAATTCTGATGATGGCATATTTTAAATAGTATTCAGTATACCCACTGCATTTGCTCATATGTGCATGATGAGAGAGAATAAAAATGTCAAGTTTTGAATTTAATTCTTTCTTACCTTCTATATAATAAGTGGAATACATTGTTTTTTTGGAACTGTATTGGATCGAATAACTCATAAAGTCATGACTCTAAATTTAAGAGCTATTGAGACTGTCTAATTCAGTCGTCATTGATGATATTCCATAAAACTTTTTTGGTCTATGTAGATTTTTGTGCTATTGAAAGTTCAAGTTGAAATTTATTAGGCGAATAATGTTATGGGGTTGAGTTTCAGAAGACTGGTTATCTATATTATATGTTATGATTTAAACCAATTTTAAATTGCTTTAAAAAATTAAAACAGAAGCGTGAAGCATTCCATATTTTATGCACTCTAAAAAGCACTTCTTTATTAATCTAAATTATAAATTGAAAAAGATGTGTAAGTTATCCTCTCAATAAATCTCTTCAAATACAGGAATAAATTAATACTAATTGACATGAAATAACAATACCAATTTTTTTTCAAAACTTACTATAAATATATTTTTTCCAATTATCATTAAAATTCTTTGTTTGTATAATGTTTGTACGAGTTTGTATAATTCCGATCACAACCATAGCTTTGATGCTCAAGTTTTTTTGCATAGTAAGTACAGTTCCAATAAAGTACTATATGATTCTTACTGGTCATTTATAATAAATCATAAAGAAATCTGCAAATTGATTAGATGAACCATCAATGAAGATAATCAAATGAGATATATGAATGAGTCAATAAATCGCGAATATAAAAGTAAAACGAAGTCATACAGTTGCAATATTCGGTTATAAGTGTTTGCAATTTTCGCAAACAAAGCATTATTAAGGTGATAGTCCTAAAATGATATGATGAATAATTATGTTAGCAAGCTATTGTTGTTAGTATATAGGTTTAGGCTCGCAAATCTAATATAATGATGATGACAGATGTTTCTAAAAAAAATATAATGAATTTTTAAAATCAATAGCAGTTAGATCTCATCAAATATATGATCAGTATCCAAACTGCTGTCACATTTATTGTATCGCCTGCTTATATTTTTTCAACACTGTACACTTCTTTTGAACATTTGCGACATGTCATTGCAACATTTGTAATAGCATTCCCACTCTTTCTAGCTGCGCTAACATAAGCTGGGAATTAAATATGGCTGATTCTGTAACTTAATCATGAAAGAAGGAGAAAAAATATTTCATTTACATATATGAAGTGATATGGCAGACATAGATATCGAAATTTAAACAAATTACCATAAAATTATATGCTTTGTTTGAATTCAATGATAGCAAACATATTGATATCCTGATAGAACAACTTATTAGCCTTAGAAGAACCAACTAATAAATTACAGTTTTCATTTAGCGCAATAATAGAGGCGTTTTTTAGTTTGAAATAAAATGATAAATAATTTATTTGAGTAGCATTGATTACACATAGAGATTTTGCAATGAGAAAACAGTTCATAAAATCATTTTAATTTTGTTGAAAATATAATTAACCCACTTCTTAAGTGTATTTCGCTTTTATCACAAAATAATTGGTCGATGAATTTCTTTCCATCAATGTAAGAAATTGAAGCTGTTACTAAAAGCCTCTGTAGATAATTTATTTCAACTTGCTGTTATCAAAAATCAAGAGTATGCATTGTTTACAAAAGAAATGAAAATTGTTAATCTGATTTTTATGATCGTTGTACGATCTATGAATCTGCCGCATTTCAGATTTGCTGTAAAAATTATCAGTTGTAAGTTAAAGAAAAAAATGGAAATCCTTAGTAAGTTTCAGAAACTTAAGTAACGAAAAGTTTTGGTTAAAGAAATACCACAGCGGAAACAGTTTATATGTCACGATCGTCCGGCAAGTTGCATAAAGTCCACAAAGTATACTGATAAATTACACTTATCACAGTAGTGCTTCCGCATTATAAGTTAAATTTGCAATGATGAAATAAATTCAAGCTGTAATTTGATTTGCAAGTTTGTTAAACAATAGGGAATAACCTTGCTACATGAAGTTAAACTTAATAAGGCTTGATTATTTGTCCTTAAGGTTGCAATTGTAAAAGACATGGAATTCAATAAAAATCCTCGTTCCAAAATGAATTCCAAATTTTTTTTGTAAATTTTAGTTCAAAATTTTAATGTTTGTAATAATTTTCCTATTAGTTTGGTAATGGAATCATAAATGGAGGATATTCCTCGTTTTTCTCTTATGTTATTGGCTAAATGATTGGATATGGAATGTATCAAAAGCGTTAGGCTCCATTCCATTCATCAATCATTCTGCTGTCAGCTTCAGAGAATGAAAATTTCTTTTTTCATTATTGATAGGAAGAACTTTTGGAAGAAACATCACAAAATTTGGTCGGATTTACAGATTTATATCCTACAGTAATGGTAATAAACAAAGTCAAATGATAGATTCTGAATAAATATTGGGAAAAAAATATTGCAATAATCAGGACTCTTTCTTAAATTGTCACAGTAATCTTCGATGCATTCTAATTTAATTGTTAAAAAATTTTCGATTTAACCGTTGCTCAAGGAAAATTATACAGGGGTGAAAAAGAAAAGGCTAGAAAGTTTCCAGGAAAGAGAAAGTCATGAAAAATTAAACTTTAGTGAAATTTAAAAATTAAAATTCAAATTGTCAAATGATAAGTAATAGAGCAATGATTTTATCAAATCCCAAACATAATCACTATTACTGCTATTACAATTCTTCTTCGAAATCGTTCATTGACCAATTCCGATCGATAGAATTCTTAATGACAGCGCTGTTGTCTTCGTTTTTAATTTTCGTTAAAATTTTATGCTATAAATTCATTAACCGCAATAATTTGCAATTCATTTAATTGAAAACAAGTGCATTTCGATGGAATTTGTTTTGTCAGTAAATAAGTAATAAGCAAAAATACATATAATAAACAATTATTTGATGAAATAGTAATCGCTAATCAATTGTTGACAGATTTTTCTTTACCTGATCCAGAAATAGAATTGTGGATTAATAAAACAATTGCTGGAAGATGCTGCCAATATGAAATATAAAAGTATTTTTGTAGGAAGTGCTACAGATAGCTCTTTTCATTGATTACGAAATCGAGTTTAACATATTCCAATTAATTGAGGAGGAAGATTTCTAAAAATCCTTGAGAACTTTTTGAAATTTAATATTAAATTTTATTAATACAATTTTTTGTTCTTAATAATTCTTAAAAGAACAATAAAATGCATTATTTAATTATGGAATATTGTATATTTTGTGATTACTTAATCATTTTTGTCGTTCAACTGTATAAAATTTCATGAATAGAAATGTGCAATACACTGTTCACTGATTTGGATGAATTTTATTTGATAACAAATTAATCACATCATCGCAATATACAGCCAACAAGCGCAACATTTTTGAAAAACAGATTATAGTTAAAAAATGTCGAATTCAATTTACAGTTAACCTTTAAAAATACTTTCTTGCAAACACTCGGTTAAAAGTATTCCAATAAAAACAAAAATAACATAAAGGTGTGAAAACGCTAGGATTTGTAGAATAATCACCCGATAGATATTAGGAAACTTCACAATTAGTGCATATATGATAATCATTACAGGGACTGAAAGCAGGAAAAATGGAACAAGCAAAGAATGATTAATGAGAGGATAATGAAGGAAGAGAGAATTGATAAGAAATGATAGAAAATCTTGGAAACGATGACACAACCGGTTGGTGACGAAAGGAGCATATAGAATAATTTCAGTGGGCACAATAGAACTACTCAATGTCACTTTCTCAAATATTAAGAAATAGGCTTGCAAGCAGGACATTTGATGTCGCATAATAAATTTCGAGAAGTAAGAAAGGATTAATTTATGCCAGAATGATTGAATGTTCAATTAAGATGTCCAACAAAAAAAATTTTTTCTCTCCTAAATTTTTAAATTTGTTGAGGGATCAGCTTGATTGTTTAAAATATTTGTCCTTAAAGTTATTTATTAAGATACGTTTTCGGTGGTGTTTGTTTTACCATTAATATCCGTTGCATGTTGATTTTTGTTTCTCTAAGAATTCAAAATTAGATCGATCAAGACAAAAAACAATAAAACTGAGTTTTCTTATTATCAAAAGATTTATCCGCTGTTCAATCAAACTTTCAGACTTCCAATATTTTATTAATTTTACTATGAAATTCATAATTTATGAACAAAAATTCCTTTGAGATAGGTCTTACATTCATTATGGTCAAATTTTCATTTCACATTCTACTAATTTTAAATCCGAATTTCTTAGAATATTTGAATCAGATTTAACTGGACTGAAATATTATGTGCTATATTGAAGTGAATAATGTACAACATGCTATGTTTAAAGCGAACTGTAGACAGATAGCAATTTCTTTTCAGCTCTGAGATTTTTCGATTTTATCCAACAGTAAATTTAAGTGAACTTATTTTACTTTCTTATAAAATCTTATTTAAATGCTAAATTTTTGTGATTTTACAGTTTCACAGTATGGGTTTAATCTAATTTCTTAGGAACCTTAAAAACGGTATAACTGAGATAACACTGCTCCTCAAAAAGTTTGTTTGATTTTTCAGTTGAATATCCCTAAAAAAAAAATATCCCTATCGTCTACAAAGAAAAGAAACCGATGCTTTTATCAAATTTTGTTTTTTCTATAGATAGAAAAAACTAATTAGACTTTTTAAAAGATTGTATTGTGTAACAGTTCAAATGAAGACGGAAGTTCCAAAGAAATTACCACTTCAACATTTAATTTCATTGCTTCACTCCTTTCTGAAATTGCATCTGCAAAGAATTTTCGTAGATATTATGTAAAATATTTGAATATTCAAAATAAAATATTGCAAACTTACATGAAAATGAGGAGATATTACCATTAAATTATTTGTGTACTCTAGAAACTTCAGGAGTTTCAAAACAATGAATATTCAGTGTAAATTATCGTTGTACTTAAAAATAAAATCTTTATACAATTTGGATAGAAAACTATATTACTTTTTTCATAACTTATTTCCAAGGTAATCAATGTTAAGTGCACTTCTTATTTCCTATTTGTTATTTATTGCTTTAAGCCTACCTGTCGTTGATGCTTAGTTCTCATTTCTTTACCCTTAATTTTGCACCTGCTTCTTCGGATTTATTGAAATTTCTTTGAAGTGAATTTGTAGTTGCTGAGGTGTCAAATGTTGTACTGTATATTATATCTTGATATCAACTTTTCGTGAGAAATTATATTTTAAAAAATCTGAAAGCAAAAATAGCTAAAAAATAGCAGTGTTATTCTATTACAATTTCGCATAGTTTTCCAATCCCCATGAAGCTTATTAATACAAGATGTAATAGAACTTTGATTCAATTCAATATTATTACTTCCATATCTCATGTTTTAATTCGTTAATTAGCTTTAAAATTAGATTAGTATATGTTATTGACAGAAGAACTGAACTAGGATGCCGATTAGAAAGTACATCTCGAACTGATTTACATCAACAGCTGCTCCTCATTTTTTTGCTTTATAGATTTTTTCTCAGCTTAAGATGAATTTTATGAAAGTATTTTAGGATTATCAGCATTTCATTTGTTTTTCAATACTTAATGACACATTTCTTGATCGTAACAACTATTGTTATAAGCATTATTATAGACAGTTATAAGCAGTTAAGATTTTTGAATAGATGTTTTGTTGTAGACAATTTTAGAATGAAGTCAATTGATATGTAGAATATGTTAGGACTTTAAATTTATCAAAACAAAGCTACTGCTATGTATGCTAACTTTTCATTGGTCAGTAAAATAATGATGTACTGCTATCGTATCAATGAACTTTAATTTTATCAATGAATCTTTTGGGCTAGTCTCAGATGCAGAAATAAATGAGACAGAAGAAAGCCTATATTTGTTTATGGCAATATACTGATACATTATTTTGTGTAACTGATAATACAAATGATGAAATAAAGCAGTGTTAGTTGGAGGGTCTAATCGAAGAACACTGAAATAATATTTATTTTCAATTTCATTTAATTCCTGTACTTGTGAAAGTATGCATTCGACAAGTTTCCCTATCAAATAATTATTCTGTATGCTAAAATCATATATCAAAATTTTGTTCTATTTCAAGATTTTCAGTAACTTTGACGGGATATCTTTTTCCAAAATTTATTTCATAAAAAATTGCTTCAATAATGCAGCATGAATCAAATCAATTTCGTTTCTTTTTATTTCTAACAAAACAAAAAAGTAGGTTTATTTCTGGTTTCTTGAAAGATTTGCAAATACTATTTTTAATAATTATATATGAACAAATTCACTCTTCTCTGTTAAACAATTATGTCATTCTCACCGATCAGCTAATGATTCACATTCTATAAGCTTATCTTCTGCCTAACGACTAGCAGGCACCATATTAGTAATATTTGGGACAGCATCATTTGTGAAAACATCGAATTCCAATAAATTGCTGGCCGGTCTCGGAGCATTGTCTCTATTTTTGGCTGTTCTTACGGCATCCTACACATTCTGTTAGTTCTTTTTATTCAGTCTTTATATATTTCAACAGATTGGTTTTCCAACTTTATCAAAAATTGAATTATATCATATTTCAGATTGATTAAAAGTTTGAATGAAGAAAATATTTAAGCTTTTTATTATTATCCTTGAACTGAATAATTTAATATGCAATACGATATTATTTAAATCTCATCCTTTTAAGTTTGGTAAAACTAACGGATTGCCAAATAATGATAATTGATTATTATTGCAATTGTTTTTCTGATTTATTTGTCAAAGGTTATTCCTCCATTTTGTCGATATGAGAGAGATTATGTGCCTAATAGCTATTCAAGTTCTTAAGTCTTCAAGTCCTGGTAGCTGTTCTTGCCGTTCATTCGCCCGCCTTATCACAATTATCCTCAACTCATTTTTTTCGCCAAATATCCATTAGATTATTATATATATATATATATATACCAAATTTATAAACTTTATATCATTGAATATCTATTGAAAATTCTTTTCATACTTTTTCGGATGAGGAGCTATTACATAAAACGAAAACATTTAGCGCAATATCATGCTAGCAGCAGCTTTGCTAAAAATTCTCAAAAATATTAAGTTATGGAAGAATTTTGAAAAAAATAACTGGGGGAAAGATGAATAATTCATCCAATTGTATCTGATAATCAAGTTTTGATTTTTAAACAGGTTAAATCTTCAATTAAAATAGTAGCATTAATTAACTGAAAAACTAGCTGTTTAAGAACATAGCGAAATCTTAATAATGTATAAAAATGAATCAGTTATACATACTATCGATTGTACTGTAATTTTGAATTACTACAACTGTTTATCAATAGCCAGTCAATTTAGCTAATTTACTGCACATGACAGCAACGTAACGCATTTTAAAGGTCATATTAGACTTAAGAATGACGTATGTCACACGGAGCTGTACGTATATTTACGAGAGTTATATAACGTTATTAAAAAACACAGACATTTGATAAAGTTGGAGTTCTGAAACAGGACAAGGTGAAGAACGGTATCACATTCATTATATGTAAATGTTGTTGGCAAATTAAATATGTTCAAATTATAATTACTTTGATATCATCCATTTCTTTCTTTGATATCATTTTGATATCATTTTAAAGTGTTTTATCATTTCTCTTTTAATGTGACTTTTGCTGACAATCAAAATAAGGCTTAAAATTGATCAGAAAGTTCAAGAATGTTATAACAATCCAAAATCTATCTTTAAGAACTGCTGTTAAATTCGCTAGTATTGCCATGACAAAAATTTAATGATAAACAACTCTTAAAATCTTAGACATCAAGTTTCTGTTAACTGTATTTATTTTTTGATAATTATCACTACATCGATCAAGTAAGATTCATTGTTTCTTTTCATTTTAAGGAAGCTTGCGTCAGATCTGTTTAAATGATAATAATCGGATATCTGGCTTCCTAGCTTTGACCTTCGTCTCTATTTGAACTCATCTACCTCACTATTACTGGATTTATTTTTCAAAAATGAAATCTGAATATTTCAGACATTATTCATATTTAAGACTTTTCAAGGAGTGAATTAAATTTAATATAAATCTATTGATTTACAAAAAAAGACGAAAACAAAAAGGTACCATTAAAGGTCATAATTTTCTTGTTGTCTTCATTTTGACTATTATCTTAATTTAACTGCAACGACGTAATTTTATGCATTCATGAAAAGAGTGATGATAAGATATGTAGAATATAACGTCGCTTTAAATAACATAGTTGTATTATGCATACATACTAACACCTATCATCCGCTCCACTAAACTTTTTCAGTATTGCATGGGAGTGAAAGAAATAAGATGTATTTTTCAATTTGAAATTTTTCCACACATCTCATACTACAACATATTGGTATTATTACTACTACTATATGTACGCAAAAGATACTATGGATTATATCCCAAAAACTTCAATTCGGAGTAATTAGTTTAATTGTAAAGCTTCGTTACTCAAGTAGAGAGATTATTATGGAGTTTTTTTTTTTCGCATTTATAAGACTTATTACTGTTATGTTTTATTGAAGCAGGTATACTTGTCTGATCGAATAAAAATAAAATTGCAAGAAATAAATGAAGAAGATCATTAGATGGCTAAATGAGATAATTATGAAACATCCGTGGCGTAATCCATGATACTGTTGTAGAACAGTTCTTCCAATTCAGTTGTTGTTGTCATCTAAAAAAAATTGTTTATTGGATATATGAGACGGACAAAGAAGTGTCTGTTTGAGAACTCATATGAAGAGAATTAAGGCATAAATAAGATGCGATGTATTCGATAAGATTAATCTTTGTTGGAGATCGATGTTCGAACGAATTGCAAATTCAGTACGCCTTAATTGGCAACGATAGTAATTGCGGTGTTGAGCAGATGTAATGCCTTAGTGATGTTTAACAAGCAAGAAAGCAGTGAATAGCATGTGATTTATTCTTGGTTGATTTTGACAACATATCTTCAACCTGAATCTTCTAAGATATAAAAAGGTTGGGTGGCATGAGTGAATCTTTACTAAACAAAAATTTTGATTTGTAACTGGCATATGAGTAAGATAGACGAGGAGATAAAGAGGAAGACGCAAATGATTTGTTTGATGTAAGACTAGCAGAAGAATTCGTAGCACTTGCAAAAAGTTTTAATAATCTTAAGACATCGAACTGACTAATAACAAAGCGATAGACAACGGAACGACAACAGTGAGATAAAAGATTGAAACCACAAACTAATATGCTAGATGGCGAGATAATAAGCAATTTGTTATGAAAGTTACCGTTGAAGTGAGATGGAGCTTGAGGTTATTATTTATTGCAAATGCTTCAGCAGCTGACAATGAAATGGCATGTCTTGATTGCAGATCAAACTTGCAACCAATCAGTATGCCTGAAAATCTCAAATTGGAAAGCTTTCAGCCAATAGAATATAAAAATTTGAATGAATTAATGCAAAGTTGCTTTCCTTAAAATGTAAAATTTCGAGATTTATCAATTGCAACTCCCTCTTTTCATTTCCTCATAAAATAAACTTTCAAAGTAGCGGTTCTATCTTGGCCTGATTCTATTACAATTGAGAAAGCTCAAGTTTCGCTTTTCGCAGCAGTTGTTAATTCCACCAATTTTATGAAAATCCGCCATCTGGCGTCCTTTTACACTTACATTCACATTGCATCTATCTACTTCGTCAATGAACTGCTCTGTTGCATAATTTCATCCCTAAGCAGATTTATCTCAGCAAGCACATGAAAATCAAAAAGAGCGTAAAATTTAAACCGTCCATTAAAATAGAATTTCAAAGTAACGGTTGTATCTTAGCATGAAGATATTTTAAAAGGTAATAAATGATTTACTTTTCTGAATGCTCAGCTCTTCAAAATATGCCTTTAAAATATCAAGGCTATCTTTACTGGTAAGATCGAAACACAGAGCATAAAAAGCATTTTCGTCGCATACTGACTTAACGATCCATTTATAAAGTTCATGACCAGCAGTATCTACCAGTACTGTATTCACGGTACGTCCACAAATTTCTAATGTCTTATCATACAGTTCTATACCTTGAGTCTAAAACATTTTATATTGGAAGAATATATCTTATAATATTTTCTGAAATAAGTAACATGGAATAAAATATCAAAATGATAAATAATATTTTTCTTTAAAATTTATTTAAGTCCTTAGCATTCAACTTATTTTGAAGTGTTGTTCTGGCTACAAAACTAAATAATTTTATTATATCTTACCATTTCATAGTCCTTATTATTAAAATTGTACTTCCCAGTCAATATTTTTATGATCGTACTTTTACCAACTCGAGCTGCTCCTAAAAACTATGAATCAATATCCATTCTTCCTACATTTATACGTATATCGAATTAAGAGTAGCAGGGTGATGCGTATGGGATATGTTACATTTGATCTTTGAAAATCAGGTTATTTTTAATAAAAAAAATCTCATATGACTTAGTCTGGTATAATTAGCATGGCAGAAGTTTGTGATTTAAAAGCATTTTTGTTGAAAAAATATATCTTACCCAAAAATATTATTTTTTGAATGCTAACACTGCGTTGTTCCATTTTGTTTCAAAATATCAAAGTTGCTCAGAACCACTAATATCTTCGGCAACAATTCTACAAACGTTTTCAATTCTAAGCTATCAATCTGTCAGATTTAAAAATGATTTGAAAGATTACGAAATGTACTTTAGGGACAAAATAATCTAGACGTGACAGCTGTTAGCTAGTCTGTCGTCACGTGATGCAGAGCGTTGATTAACGTATCAATGTTTGATTAGTAGACAAGAAGTTTTAAATTTGACAGAGACAAGAATTTTTCGGAGGAAGCAGAGGCATGAAGCACACTTCTCCTGATACCATGGCAACAACCAACAATATTCGCTAAATATTCACGGCTGTTGTTTCAATCTATTAAACTTTTAAAATCTTATAGTAAAATAAATGGATAAAATTGTCTTTCATAAATTTCAATAATTTTTCGAATTTTTTGATTAAAAAACAACACAACAGTCTTATGGAATCAGATTCTTATCAAGCTTTGAATCGAATTTCAAGGTGAAACCATGAAGAAGCATTATAATTGCACCGATTACAGCTTAAACTTTATATGTTCTCACACGATCACATCGTAACTTCTCTCAGGCTTCCCGAGACTTTGAGAATTCACTCGCCTTTCCTTAGCATACAGGAAGATGGAAAGATGGAGGAATTCGATATAGTGCTGCAATTAAGGTGTACCTTTTCCTGGATACAGGCCAAATGTTGAAGAAGGCGAGGGTTTCCCGAGATTCGGATTTTTTATTTCCACTGTTTTTTAATGGGGTTTTAGAGATGCTGAAGATATCGTGCAGACTTTGCGTTTAGACCTTTTACATGGATATTTGTATGATTAGTTTTGTAATTTTCTGCTGTTTCGCGAAAAAGTTGTCCCATTTCCAAGATTTCTCGGGTTAAAGTTATCATAACTCCCAACCTTTCACAGGTTGCTATCTACTTTCTCTCCGAATAATCAGACAACGTAGTTTTGAAGAAATGATTAACGTTGAAATAGTATTTAGTTATTGTGCTTCGTAATTTTTTTCAAACTTTTACTTATACAGCAAATATTTCCACTTTAATTCCGGCATTTCTATTGCAGAAATTCTTCAAAAGGAGTGGATATACAAAGTTGTATTTGTCGATATTCTTCGGTCCTCAGCATCTTCCAAGGAATGAAACATTGAATTGGGCGATAAATTAACCTTCGGTAAGTTTAAAAACTGTTATTATGCATTTATTTCCACAGCATGCTTTCTCTCACTCTGTTTTTTTTGAAAACTTTTAGCTACAATAGCTGAAGAAAGTACTTTATACCTCATTAGGTGCATGTATCACATTACAGGTATGAGTAGAATTTTGCGCTATCGTATTATCTACTCCATCTTGAATCACTTAATGACTAGAATAGGGATTTTTATTGGTAGCTGTCTTTTAAATTCTGATTTCTCTTGCAAATGATCCATACCGACAGCTTATAACATTAAGAAAGCATTAAAAAAATCCCTTATAATGTATCGAACTCCTGTATGCTTAGTTTAGCTATTGCATAAAGACAAGTTTATTTGATTATAAAACCTTTGTTTCGTTTCCTCCAGACTTTGATATGCTCTTTTTTAAATGGACATCTCATGTCCTAACCGATTTCATAAGTATTGATATGATTCATCTTGCTACTTTTTGTCTTCGCTTTCTCTTTCTCATGGATTTAATGAAATTTTCCTCTCTTTTATTCCCTGGTACTTTATTAGTTTAATCGTGTCTATTGGAATATATTTCGAAAATTTTTTAATTATCAAAAAATCGAAAATATATAAGCTAATGTGTTGTTGTCTGAACTGATGAGTAAACATCATTTTATCAATTTCCTATGCAAAGCAGTAGACACATTAATTTTTTTTTAATTTAATTCATGATTCAAATCGGCAAAGCAAGTAAGTTTCTGCATCGGTAGTGAACGAATATACGAAATAGGAAGTTAACAATGTGTAGTCATGCTATGAAAAATATGCTTGGTGCATGCTTTTTTTTCTTTTGACTATTTGCTTCATTTTGGGTTACATTTTGGAATCCATTGTTACTACTTGATAAACCATTTCTTTATAAATTTTCTGCACTCAAGGACATTATCGTGGTTAGAGAGTGGAACCAATGTTGAGAATAGAACGACATATCTTTTAAAACATGCAACGAGAAAAACTAAAAAATCAGTACTAGTTTAACTATATAATAGTTGTATGTGTGTGAAATTATTTTTCATAATTTAAACCTAATTGATTCTGCTAACTTGCAAGTATGTCTCACTAAAAACGAGATCGCTACATTAACATCCCGACTGGCATTAATCAGGCAATGTAATATCTTGTTTTCGCTTGATGTTGTTTTCCGATCATTGTGGTCTTCGTAAAGGATAATCTTCTGTTTGGAGAGAGGAAGAATATATTTGTATAATTAATTGCTTTTCCAAAGTCTTCGTGTATTCTAGTAAAAAATGGTGAAATATAAGGGTCGTTCTAGCTTATTGACATGGTAAGGAAATTTTTCACAATTAAACTTGATGAAGACGTGATACGGATGGTTTCTATTCTGTGTATCAAGTATCATAAGCTACCTTTTCTCACAGTTCGCTCCCACCCTGATCAGGAATGCATTCTTATTTTTCAGGATGCCGCTATTTGATTGTATACATTTATTTATTATGTAAATAGGCTGCGGATGAAATGTCAAGGAACTAATAGATGTGAAGAAATATGCGGGGTTTTAGGGAAGAGACCTTAGATGAGAGTAAGTTTTTAAATTGATTGAATTTGTTGGTGAGTGAGTGGCATTGGATGAGAGACATTTGTTGTTCTGATGACTTCCGAATAAAGGGAAGAATCTGTGTGAAATAGCTAAATTGGGCATTTGGTTTCAGGAGTGGGACACATTTCTATTGAATTTGACGATATATCTGGAAAAGCAAGCAGTAGCAATAGCCGCAGCTTTTCATGATGAAAAGCTGTTTAGTGAGTGTTAGCTTGCTCGGTTAAGGAAAGCACTCGTCCTCAGTTACAGTGAGGTGCGAGTGGAGTGGTCGTGGTGGTGTGATGTGTATGTGAGATGCGGCAAGATATTATGAGGAAAGGGAGGAAGAAATGGAGAGTCTTGTGTTGCTGTTTCTTAACTCCTAGAGGGCCTTTGGAGCTTGCGGTGTGGTGTATGGTGGTGTACGTGGTTAGATCCATCTTGCCTAGGGACGTTATCCTGATGGCGGTGGCGACAGCGAGTGTGTTGTGCTGACTTTGAAGCATTGCTTAATGAAAGTTTTAGCCTTGGGCGTTGCACTGCATTGATTAATTAATAGGAAAGGGGAAGTGAAGAGTCCAGTCGTGGTTTCTACAGTGATAACGGTAAGAAGAATGAGGAGAAGGTGGTAGTGGCAGTGGTGGTGGTACAAACAAGTGACGTGGCAGGATGAGGACATTTTAGGGATGGTCCACGGATGGATAAGAGTGGTTTGGATGAACGAAGGGTGCAAATAATGGAATCAGGGAAGAGTGGCGGCATTTGCTACTGGTGAGGACAGGAATGGATGGATTATGAGTGTCTGCATTGGCAGCCTAGTGAGTGTAGAGACGCCTTCTCATGAGCCCAAAGTGAGAGCTAGTTGGGTCTTCTTATCCTCTAGCTCAACTCATTAGTGGTATATTGATACCTGTCGAGTAGAAGATTTAACTTTGATTGATGAGTATAGTTGGAGTGGACGACTCTCCCCGAAGAGGCACATGGATTAAATTTCGCTGCCGCCGGCTGCTCCTTCCATTCGATTTTTGTTTGTGGCCGCCGAGAAGAGGAGAGACCGTGTAATCGGCGATGCCCGTAATTCAATCCGGACGGCAGCACTTCGTGTGGTGTGCCTTGATGATGAGGCTCTCCTCGGTGCACTTCTTTTCACTTTGTGGTCATTAAGCTCCATTGCCTAACACTACGATCCACTATATCTTCACGTGCTGCTGGTAGTAGTTGCCAATCCTATATTACTAGTTGGTTCCAATCACAATATTTTGCTGTTTTGGGTCCCCGCACTGATAGTCTGGCTTCAAGTGATATTCTCGACATCTACTACAACTACCCATTTGTCATTACTACTATCTGCTTATTTTAGTGCCTGTTGTTTTCAGGCCTGGCTGTGCTTCCATATTAAATATCTTCTCGCTGTTTGATAAAGCAATGATATGTCGCCGCACTTTTTACTGGAAATACCTGGAAGCAAAATATCATTTTTAGAATTTCAAAACCGAAATCTGACCTTAGATGTTCACTGGCCATATGCTGCATTATTTATTTAGCAAACAAGCTTACTGATGACAGTGGAAAATGATGCACGGATTCACAGCACGTTATAATTGATGAATTACATGACATCTACTCACATCGTCTTGGTCATTTCATGCCCTGCTTTATCTCCCGTTTCATGCTTATTACCTTATAAGTTCACTTCCAAACTCGATTAAACTATTAGCAAATTTAATTTTTTAAATACTTAGTTCTCGTATTCTGCGCTATTTACAGAAAACTGCATAAAATGGTTCATAAAATTTCTTAAAATTGTAACTTTGTTCCCTTTGCCTATCTTTCTGCTATCTTCCTTCATCCCACTTCTCTTTTAAATTGCCTAATTAAATTAGTTTTGTTTAATTAAAAAATATATTGAATGAAACGATTTGCAAGGACGTACGTTCAAGCGAAATGTTAGATGCTAAGTATTGTGGTTGTTCCACGCACAGATTTTTAAATGCTTCTGTGATTGCTTTGAAATCTGTTGTTAGCTTTTGTGCTTACATAGGAAGTTATAGCCAACTGAAAGGGTATACACGTATGCTTCTGCATCCTTGTTATCCAGTATTTCAATTGTTGGCTTCTATGTTTGTTTCTGCTAATGATAGTTCTTGACTTATTTTTTGATTAATTATGGTTCAAGCTAAATCAGGAACGGTAATTTAGTGAAGCCAAAATTTTTTTAGCGCTGAAATGTTTCCAGAATAAGTGAAAATTGGTTAAAACCTATGAAGTCCAGAAAGATACGTAAGAAATTAATGAAAGTCAATTAAACGGATCAGATTAATAGTAGAGGAAGCGAAAGCGTTGAGATGAGGATGTTTTGAACGGGTTGTTGGGGTTTTGATGTTGTAGGGAGAATGTTATTGAGCGCTGTTAAGACATATATGAGATTAATATTGGCACCTAAAGGGAATGTTGTAGGGATAGAAGCGACTGATAGGTAATGCTTAATTATCAAATGAAGCAGTATAAGGAGTATTGCTACTATTTGAGGGGCTAAAGTATGAAATATCAGTTATCAATCCATACATAGATGCTAATACTTTTCGTGCTTCCCTCATTGTATACGTACGCTGTATACTTCATACGTAGTTATTCCATAATGGGCCGTTGTCTCCTCGCTACTGTAAATGTTGGTGTAAGCTTAATGAAATTAACAGTTGTGGATGTGTTAAATGGTTGCAGCGCGCTGCTACGTTCAGCGCATGTCTGATGCCTACCACCTGTGGCTTCCCGAATTGTAAATTTCGATCCCGCTATCGCGGCCAAGAAGATAATCGACATTTCTATCGAATACCCAAACGACCACAGGTGTTGCGGCAACGTTGGTTACTTGCAATTGGACGAACCGAGGACACTGTTGTTTCACAGGTCAGGATGCCCCGTTGTATTGCTTCCTGTATATATGTAACTCCCCGCTTGAACAAAGAGCATGCAGAAATGCATATTCATGCTTGTAATTTTGCATGTTTTATTTTTATACTTGCATGAATAACCGATTTGCGTGAAAATTTGCGCTTCATTCAAAAGTATTCACTTATTGTGATTTATTTAATATTAAAATTTACATGAAAAGAAGGGTTTGAAGTCACAAAAGTAAGTAGTTAATTGACATATAAATGTAACATTCTTATCTTTGTTGTTTGTAAGGTCATAGTGAAACAAGTTAGTTCCTATGCGTCGCACCCAAAAATTACTAACTATTAACTGAATGCGATTTATACTTTCTCGACACTTCAGGCTATCCTCTATCGAATTCAACATATGAATTTCTACTTCTCCTACTAAGATCTGCTGATTATACTGCTGCTTACTACTGCTTACTCTCTTCTGCATCATGTCTTTTTATTCATACTACATCTTAAGTATTTTAACACGTTAAGAAAATATGTTTCGCTGAAGTGTCTCACTCATACTATTTTACGTCATTATCGATTCTTGACCTGAAGGTCAGGATACCTTGGCCAGATATGGTCAACTTCCCGTGCTTATGCAATTTGAAATAAGTTTAGTCATTAATGGTTAGACATTAAATGATTTGCAGCTTAAGTCATTAGACATTAAAAGTTTAGAATCGAAAAGAATTAGTTTAGAAGACAGGAGTAGAAGAGAGCTCCAGTTTTCTTAGGTAATTAACAGTCCTCAGGTATATTTAGTAAATTAATATTAAGTTTGTATACCCTTAGTTTAAGAAATTTATTACTTCCGCCACCATGATCGTAAGCGAAGATTTGTCATATCGAGCAGTTTTGAAATAGGCTTTCTTGAATTCTACTATTCTTAAATTGATTAAAGCCTCCAAACACGTAACATTTGTCTTACTAACTTTTCAGGTTTAGTTCCATAAACTTTTAACAAAAACTACAGTACCATTGCTTTTTTGCTAATGATAATAATGGTAGTCCTAGTGCTGATAATTAAAGCTGTAGGTTCAAGTATAGAATTCTATCCAAGATAAATAAAGACTGCGGCATTCCAAATAAGATGATTGCTTTTGAGTTGGATTAGAATAGCATAAGCTCATCTCTTTTCAAAAGTAGTTGTAGTGCCTTTTTGTTTTCAATTTCAAACCGGAAATGTATTTGTTTAAAACATTTTTTTGTCATTCGTTGTCTTTAAGTGAAGTCATTTAAAAGTTATCAAATTATTAAAATGACGGGGTGGAACTTCTCGCCTCGGATGTCATAACGCACTTACATTATAGATTTGTTAAGAATACTGCAGTGCACACACTTAGCGTTAAACAGCTGTGATCTTTTTTCATTTGTAGAAGTGGTAATAAATTAAAAATTTGTCTAACGTATATTAACCATCAAAAGATGTTATAACATTGAACTGGGTTATCGGATTCACTGCTTTGATTTGCTGCTTCCAATTCTTTATAATTAATTATTCACCTTTTCCCATTTTTGATCCAGGTTTCCATAATTCAGTTATGTTAACTTCTAATTTACTCGAAAACAAAAAGGGGACAATAAATGACTTTTTCTAGTTCTAGTAATTTCAGAGAATGAGAAAAACAAGTTTCGAAGCATCTGTACTCTGGTTGTGCCTTCTTAAAAGTACGAAAAAGAGAAGGAGGGAGATGTGGATAACTTATGGCTTATAACTCAAAGTCTTACCTTAGTCCATCTAACATTTCTTACTCATGTCATAGGAAGTCCTCCTATATCTGATACTTAACTGCAGGCAAAATGTTTGAAAATTACATAACATGGAAGTGTTTCAGAAATAACATATGGTTGTGACCTAGTATGTATCTTAGTATTTAAAACAGCCGAAGGTGATTAGCTTTTTTAACGCGTTCGCTTTTGTCGCTGCAACTACTAAAGTTCAGCTGGAGTAGTGCTTTCTGTCCCACATTTCTTTACATACATGCAAACAGTGAATTTGCTTAAGAATTTTGTAAAGGCTTTCTTTCAGTTACCTCTGATAAGAAGTTTCATTTCATTCTTTTTGTAGCATCGAGCAATTTTTGTTCAGAGTGATTCCTTAAACAACTTACAAAACCAAACTCTTTCTGCCGAACGTAAATTATGAAAGGAGAGTAATGAAGCATAGCGCTGATTAATCCTTCAGCAGATGTATTGCTTACCAAAAAAGCCTTACCTTCTTTTTCTACTTGTGTGCATGCTTAAAGAATTACTGACACAAATAACTGATGCATGTAAAATCTGTATGTATTAATCTTCGAATCATGGATCATATCAAATTCCTATGGAGTGGAACACATGATCTTAGAAGCTTTTAATTTTTTCTCTAATTTTAATGTGTGCAGTAAAATAAATAGAAGTGAAACAATGACCCGTAGTAATATTTCATAAGTTTATCAATTAGAGAAATGTGAAATTGTATACGCATGTCGGTTTGCAGATAGCGTGTTGTAAACGTGGAGCACAAGGCTCGACAAGGCCAGCTCTGAGCACTCTTCACTACATGTTTCCTTCCGGTAAGAATGCATTAATCACCTCTCCCAGAGCTTTTTTTTTGAAATTTTGATTTTTCTTTGTCGTTGTTTGGCTACTGTTTGACTGATGTATTAGAATAGTAATTGTATGACATGTATGTGTGTATGTCCCTATCTGTTCATTGAACACTCCTGTACCGATCACAATTATGCATGGTTAGTGTATCAGCGAGTGAGTATATTTTATCAAACTGTAAAATTCCTCACTTTTGCGTTCATGTAAGTACATTAACGTTAAAACTGCTCTTGTTGTTTTGCAAATCAAGAAATATCTGAGGAAAAAAAAACATCACGGCTTTAATGTGTTATTGTTTGACGAAGCGTCTTATAATTAACAGTCATTTAATTTCGGGTAACTTTCTGCTCATTTTTTTCAGGTAAATGTTGCAATTCATGTATATTTGTGGCCGTTTACTTTCCTGTATATTACCATTTTAATTATAATAAAATAAGCCTGGTAATATTGCCTTCAAAAATCCTTGAAATATAAAAATGTGTTTTGATAATAATCTAATTTGCTTGTTGTTGGCAGAAATCACTTAAGTAGTTTTTAGAACCTGGGATGTTTTTCAACTGTGACATTTCATAACCCTTCATTATTAGGGTAACGAATAAAATTCAGCCAAATTAATATTTCTCAAGTTCTTTGAAATACAAAAATAATTGGTGTAAAGTGAATAAAATTCTCATACTACGTGAATTGCAATATTTGCTTTCAAGAAAAAGCGAGGAAAGATCTCACACGAATTTGCATTCCATTCAATATTTCTGCTCTTAATTCATACCATTTTAATTAATTCTACTTTCGCTATATGGATATTTAGTTGGAACTTTATCCTCTTTAGCATTCATTATCACAATATACGTTCGTTTTGTGTTAACTGTTGTGTTAATCCTCTCCAAAGAAGCAGCATAGAGTTAGAACGCTGTTATTTGATTCTGGTCCCAGAAATACAAGACCCTGAGAAATGACTCCAGTGTAGTGAGTCTTTCTGAACTAGTCTATAGTGGCGAATGGTTAAAGCTTGCTAAGTTTAATTATAGGGACTGTTATAACCGTTTAGTTATTCAGTACCTCTCGTGACAAATCAATATATTAAAGAAGGCGGGATATTGCCTATAATTCAACAGTTGATTAAGTCATGATTTGGGTACCTTTTGTCTTTTGAAGAATTTATTTCATACGGGTGACAATGTTGTCCAAACTGTTGTCATCCCTATCCAGGATTGTACTTCCTGAAGCATTGTTAAATAGTGGTTAAAAAACAACTTCATAAAGTATAGAATGTAAGCAGTGGAAGTGATTGCTTGGATTACTTGATTTATTTTAATTTAGTAAGTGATCTTTTCAAACTTATTGCAATTGTTTTATTTTTGTGAAATATTATTTCCTGTGTGAATTGTATCTCCCAAGTTGTTTTATGCAACGTAGTTCCTAATCATTGGAATTCGCTGGTAATCTGTCACAGTATCGATTTTCCGCACGTGTTTCTTCTTTTTACTAATTTTAAAGAAGGAAAAAGAAAACCATTTTGTGCTAGTTAATTCAGGAATAATAATTAATTCGGAAGAACGAATTTTCACTCCCTTCTCAAGTTCATTTTCGTAAGCTGCGAATTTTCTTCTAAAATCCTTCTAGAATATTTGAGCACCATTTCGCAGCAGAATTTTTGAACAAAATCATGTCAGGGCATAGCAAGACAATAAGGCGTCGTAGTAGCAACATCTCTAGCATGTATCATGGGACCGATAATATTGCAGTGATTCGTGGTTTTCATTGGTTAGGAATCCCCACAAAAACATTTAAGGATTGTGAAATAAATTAACTGTCCTTATCGAAATTCATGAAATAGTTTTGGAATATGCAGTTTGAAAAGTCACGTTGACAAATGGACCTAGGAACCTTTTAGCGAATAGTTTCCATGGATAATTTTAGATTTGATTTATCTAAGCAGAATTCTGTTTATGGAACATCAAAAAAAGCGGTGATAGAATGACCGTTGTGCATGATCGAGCCAAGGACACATAATGAAGGCTATTTCCATTCGCAGATATGGATCTTTACCATGGAATTTCATAACTTCGTACCTGTCGTTTACAAGAGTCTGTACACTTGTATCATTAGCCCACCAGATTAGTTCGTGGTTGTTTAGCATTCGTATGTCCAGTTTATAATATGATAAACTCTCAGGAGTCCTTTTCTGATTTACTTCCAGTTAGTCACTACTCCGTTACCCACCTTTATTCCCACTTTGACATTAAATGAATTCCCATAAATTAGTTTTGTGCGTTGAAATGATTCATTTTCAAAGAGCAATTCTGGTAATAGAAAGCTTTTGGATAAAATGGCGATGATATCTTCCCCTTTTTATCCAAATAATCCCTTTCGTCCTGAGGTTTGTAATGTTGAGGCAGCTATTTGCTTTTATTTTTGGAAGTAGAAAATAGTTTTTATAATATCTGACCACAATTTGCTTGTATATTCATTACGAATTTTATTTCAGCTACGCATTTGTTCGGCACATTTCGAAGGAGGCGAGAAAAAGGAAGGTGATATTCCTGTACCGGATCCGCAGGTTGGTAACCCTTCCGTAACCGTTACAGTATGTTGGAATAATGCTCGTAGGACTACGCTTTGTGAACACTCATCATTACATCATTGAAAAATCCTGTCCAGGTTTTTTCTTACAAAGAGTTTTCAGCAATCAAGAATCAAAGACTCACCTGTTGTAATCAAAGACTCATAGGGTTTAGTAATCAGCTTGTTTCCCAAGTTATATGGTGCGGGACGCGATGTCGTCGATATAAAGATGAAGCTCGAATTTGAAGAAAAAGCAGTGGAATTTAAGATGATGAGATGTATATTAACTAATTACTTTGAAACCGGGAAGCATTCGTGTAAATGCTCATGCCTTCGTGACGAAAGTGATGGGAATAAGAAAGTGGGTGGGAGGGAAGGAGGAGGGAAGGGGTGGAAGAGCGGGAGTGTGGCTGTGTTAGGTGGGTGTGGTGATACAATCAAATAAATTCATAGTATTGTTGCAGTTGGACGCACCGATCTCGATTGAGCTCCCGCCAAAAGAAACAAAAAGCAGCGATCGACGACGAGCACTCCAGCAGCCGAGGTCATCAGCTCGTTCTGCACCCTGCTCCAACAGCTCCGCAGCAAGCACCTCCGTGAAACGAGGTCGTTCATTGGCGGTCACCGCTGATTATTTGGCTAGCTGGAAGAATCGCTCCGTTACTGACGGTCACTTCTGGTTTTTTTTTTTGTGATCCCTCTCTGTCGTTGTCTCTCAGTTGGC